TGTGGGGACCCACCAGGGACATATGGGAGGGGGGGGGACGGGACACGGTGTGAGGGGACACACAGGGGATGGGCACGGGGCACAGGGGAACACACGGGACATGAGGACACACATGGGATGTGGGGGACACATGGGACACATCGGGGGCACACATGGAAGGTGCAGGAACACTTGGGACAGGCGTGGGGCAGAGATGGTGTGGGGACACACACAGGGGACAGGCATGGGACACATTGGGGGCACATGTAGGAGCTGGGGGGACACATGGGACAGATGCAGGGCGTGGACGGTGTGGGGGGACATGCGGGGGACATGCATGGGACACAGAGGGGGAACACATGGGATGTGGGGGGACACAGGGGACATGCATGGGGCACATACGGGCAGTGGGGACGCCCATGGGACACACGTGGGGAACACACGCAGGGCACACATGATGTGGGGGGACGTGCATGGGACGCACAGGGGCACACATGGGACATGTGGGGCACATAAAGAGCACACATGGTGTGGGGGACACACAGGGGACACGTGGGGGACACATGGGAACACATGCAGGACATGTAGGGGGCACATGTAGGAAGTGTGGGGGGACACAGAGGAACATGTGGGACATGGGGACACAGGTGACATGCATAAATACATAGAGGGTACACGTGGGACATGGGCAGACACGGGACACGCACGGGACACAGGGCGCACACAAGGGACGTGGGGACACACAGGGGTCAAGTAGGAGAGAGGGCACAGGAGACACGTGGGACACGGGATGGCACAGGCACGCAGGGGACACAGGAGCCACAGGGAACAGAGAGGGGACATTCAGGAGTCCCCCCGGGACACGCAGGACTCGGGCAGGGGACAGCGAGGGGGTGCGGAGGCAGGGGGCCAGGTGCCACCACCGCGGGGACAGCGCTGTGACGAGCCCGGCGAGCCACGAGCCACATGCCTTGTGACCGCCCGGGAGCCGCGGGCCACCCAGCAGCGTGTAGGGGGCACCGCCG